TTCTGTTACAACTTTCACTTATGGTTCGTTTCGTTTTTTTTGGAAATTCTTTGGAATGTTCTTACAAGTTCGGTTCTTATTCAGACGTTGTGTAAATTTTTCTTTGTTGAATTCTAAATACATTTGGAAACTTATCTAGGATATTTTAATGGGAACTCTGTAGCTGATCTGAAGAAGTTCAGGAAGATCAAGCAACGGAAATTAAGCAACAACTGTTGTCAACGTTATGGATTCATGTGAGTTGGATCGAAACGAAGAAAATTTCTCTGGTGAATCGAATAGCGGATGATTTGAAGTGGATACGTAATTTAGCATGCCTGATCGATGATTACGATCCCAACCTCACGGTAAATTTCGTGAGATTCCCTTCCAAGTGATAATTTTGGATGATATTTGCACAAAATGTTTGAAATACCTAAAATTGATGCCAAAATCAGCGAATGTTTTATGTTTTACTGTGCCTCAATTTGTCGACTTTTATCGCGTGATCTATTGAAATCAGTATTTTAATCGTCAGATGGATTCCAGATAAAATGTGAAAATTTCAGTTAAAGTGTGAAAATATTCATTTCGTACCGCTATCCTTCTTGGATTACGAAAGGGCATCGGTTGAATCGCTCGTCTCTCGACTTACCATAATTCTATTGAGAACACTCAAATCGTATCGAATCTCTGATTTACCCAACGAGCACTTCACTGCATTTATTGACGCGCACTCTTGTAAGTATTTGTGATTGCTTCAAAATGTTTTCTTTATTTCGTTCTCTAATTTGCTTCAAAATTCATTTGACGAACGAACTGTTTCTGATAATTTTTATTTCAGCGTCGTTCGCCGAGCGTCGCCGACAGCGAGTCTCACGTACTGCTGCAGTGCTATCATCTATTTAAGCTCGGTTACTGCAATAACTGCTATTATTATGACTATTAACAAAAAATGCAATTACTTCAATGATCATTGTTATCATTGTAAATGTTGTTGCCATCATTATAAATCGTTTTACAGTCGTGATTTTCAATTGTTCTGATCTGTTTATATTGATGTTATTGTTGTGAGACTGCTCAATTGATGAAATAAACTTTCGAAAATATTTTGGCATGTATAGTTGACAAATGATCATCTGAATCTTTTCCCACAATCATGCATTGTTGTTATCAATAAAGAGTCACACAATATAGTGGAAAGTCAGAGACTAAAACATAAATTCTGCATAGAAAGTAGAAAAGTAACTCATTAATGTGCAAAATGGTGTGTTAACAACGTAAGTTCGTAAAGAGTCACAATTGTGGAGTACATGCTTACTGATGATATGACGAAATGAATTTTATAAGACGGTGCAAGTGAAGAACATTTGAGGATTCGTAATTTAAGTTCGCTTACTGCAGTAATGGTGATATATGATTATGATGTACAATTGAAACATCGCAATGTTGGTGAATTTAACGTCTGTGCGCTTATTCAATTTGATTTGAATGCGATGAGATTTATTCATTAATTTTATCACCTCGATTGATTCATCGATGCACTTTACAAAATTTGAATGTAGTGATTGTAAAATTGTGCCATAATTAATCGGAATTATCATAAGTGACGAGCATAAATAAGAGTCGATCTGCGGTCGAATACATAATTTGATAGGATCATCGATGGAGGGCGGCGGTAGGGTACGTCAGACTGCTGCTGCCGTTGCTGTTGGCAACAAGCGAGGACGTACCGTTAAAAAATTGTTCGTTACCTGGTTTATTCGAGTGTTTTCATCTGCTCACCTCAATTTCGATTTGAGGAGCAGTTGTTAATGTGATATATTTTGACCTCTGGTCATTGCATCAAGCCATTCTGGACCTGTGTTTAATATCAAATATTGGATGGTACGGATAAGCACTGTCAGAATTCAGATGAATCCTAAAATAGCAGATTTCCATAATGCGATGCGGAGTATTTACTTCATCGCTCTCTGATTACTTCATAATGCTTAACTTTGATCCTATTGATCAAGTGATTGATCATCTTGATCATTTCGGATATANTATTGATGAAGTTGATCAAGATGAGCTGCTATCCTCGAAGATGCACACTTATTATCTAATGACTGTTATAGATGGGATTAACTGATGATTAGTTGATGTAAGATGAAGGCAAACATTGAAAATTCCTAAATTTGATTAGTAAAACGAGAAAGGTAAATGTATCGTAATCAAGACTGAAGACCAAATGAAAGTGAATGCCATGTGGCAGCTGATGAATTCGTCAATGAACGTTCGCTAGTCCGTCGATGGTGATTGATAATCCAACTGAGGCCCAATCCTCTATCCGTATCATTTGAAATTTGGTATCTCCGAGTAGTCCATGACAGATTCATCTCACATCGAATAGAATGGAAAACGAAAACGATAGAATAACGATAGAAGTGATTGAGTTCATAAAATTGAACAAGTGAATTTCTTCAGAGCCGTAAAGCCAACAAAAGAAAATGACGAATTATCATCAAAATCATCCACCACTCAAACGACACCAGCCACAGCCACCGACTCGCTGACTTGTATCGTTGATGCGTCTTCGTCCTCCCCAACCAGAAAGATTCCCATTATTCGTATTGCGAGAATAAGCAGAGAAAAACTTGCCGAGTAAGCAGATTATTACACTGGCACTACTCACTGTTCACTTTGTCGATCAATCGGTCGATCATGAACTCAAACATCTTAACTTAAGTCTCATCGATCCGGATTTCAACAACACTATTTTCAGCTGTTCTTGAGGAGAGGATTGATGAGTTGAACGGAAATTTTTCGCTTAAAATTTGATTTATGTATAAGGATATCAAGAAAAATGAACAACCA